AATAAATAAAAAGGGCAGTTTTTAAAGGGCCCCGGGAAACATTAATTTAGTCCTGTAACTGGGATCTGGGATAAAAATCAGTCAGATCCCAATCACAAGACTGGGTGCTGGGAGCTAGGAATCAAGATGGATCCCCACTGCTACACTTCTCATGTCACTGTTTCAATTTGCTGGCTGACAAACTGAAAGCCAGGCAGTATTGCTCAGCATTGGGCTGCACTGTGTGGCTTCAGGTGCCAGCACACAGGGAGTGTGCATCAACTCAAGGGCTCTCTGAGTCCAAGTTTAGCCCTGCAAGTTTAGCTCTGCAATTAAGCTGCAGAGTGATTTACAGCTTGCTGGCATGTGTTCTGTGTTGCCCACATACTGGGACCTAAAACCACACACAATGCAGCCCAGTGCCAAACATAGCACATGCTCAAATTAAAGTGTGATGCAAACCAGTGACAAAGATGTCCCACATTTAACATTAATTGGCACTTATACACGTCCAGTAAGGCTGCTCTGATGCACTATAATTACAGCGTGTAAGAGCAGACTCCAGCATAATGTGTATTAGCTTCCCCATGCTGATAAGTGGCAGCTTGGGCACTTTAACTAAAGCTCATTCGATACACATGATTTTCTGGGTGCTATAATTAGAGCAGCTTTCAGATCTGCTCTAATTAAAGTGCCCTCCCCGCTTCCCACTCCCAGAGCACATGTATAAATGCCCAAAATGCTTTGCCACTTTATCACGGCATGAACTGGCTGGACATGCAGCATACCATAAATTATTGTGCAATTAACATGTTAATTGTGACAAAATGTAAAGTCTACTAGGGCCCAAAAGGACACAGGAATAAACAGGAATCAATTTAGACTGGCAGGAACAACTCCTATGTAGAATAGCACTTAATCATATTGGGAGGCCTCTGAAAACTAGCTACCACAAACAATGCCACTATGGTTGGAAACAAAATGAGTGTGTTTGTTTCCAACAGTGAGCCATAGCACCTGATTCTGGTGCCTGTCCTTCAATAACTGAAAGCAACGTGGCAAGAACAGCAGTACAGAAAATATATTTCAGCAACAATTCTTCCATTTTTATCTGACTTCAGAGAAAAATAAATATAAGAAGTTTGTCAGAGGAAAACCAGATGGCTCAGGTGATCATAATTTGGCTATGCCCCTATTTTGAAATTAAATCAAGTGAACAACAACTTAAGTTGAGAATACCTGAAATGACCTAACAATTTCACTCCTTTTGGACATATCACTGACTTGTACTGGGTTGGCATTCAATTAGAATACACATCAAATGAAATATACAAAATAACTACATCTAGAGAAGCATGTCAGTCCTTGGGCCTATGGTAAGTGTTTCATGGGGTGGAAAAAAAAAGCCCATAAACTTCAGTCTCTAGGACTGATTGCTGCCCTGCTGAAAATACTAAAACTATTAAAAACAGAAGAGTTAAAATGCCTGCATTTATTCAATGAACCAAAGTAGCTCATTTGGAGTACCGGATAAAAAAAACTTCTTAAAATATTTTATTTTGCCTGAAATTAGTGTAAAAAAGTCATAATTTTCCCAAATACAGTACAAGTCTTCATAGCATGTTTTAAAAAATTACAAGTCTGGCAGTCAACTGTGGAATTTCCATGTAATGTTAAGTTGTGTAAAAAAAATGTCCAAGAAAAGATTTGGTATCCAAGGCTATCAGCAAAAAAGGTCACAGAACAAGAAATCTACCTGGGAACTCAACTAAAGGATAACATGGAGTTTCACTCTCCTTTCACTGTTCATGTAAATAAAAAAAGCCCTGAGTGAAATAATGATGTTCCAAAGAATGGACCTATTGGGTGATAATTTACCTTCAAAGAAATTAATAAGAACATAATGAAGATACGATGGACAAAAACCATAATCTCCACACCTATTAGATAAGCAATGTAGAAGATTTATATCATGCTTATTTGTAAGTCGTTGGATGCAGAAGAATTCCAATAGCTGACAGGTGACTTTCCTCAGGACAAATGTTGTGGAAAGGAGACTATATGCCAATTCAAAAAACGTGGAACCCATTCTTTTGGGTGCTGGATGTCCCTTATTTCAAAAGGACTAAGCTTTAAGCATTCTTCCTTTTAAAGAAGGCGAGAAACTGCAGAATACATTAAAACAAAACTGCCCTGTGAAAAATTGCAGTGTTTCTACAAAAATCACAACTCTATTAGTATCTCATAGCTTTACATTTTAAAAAGAAACTAAACAAACAGACCATGGTATAGACTGATCACCTGCCAACTTTGGTTTAAAGTAGAAAAAATCTTTTTTTTAAAAAAGGACAAAGGAAATATTAATGTATATGCTCAAAAGTTCTTCAGACTAATACCTACCAAATTCTGCACTTTTCTTAAAGTAATGCTGTATTACATTTCTTTTATTATATAGTTCTTCATGGGACCAAGTTTTCTTCTACAGGTCCATATTGTAAGCATACAGAAGGCTTTTCTTATTCATGAAACGTTATTTGGAATTGCTTGATAATAAATTAGATCCTCAGTTTTAAAGCTTAAAAAACGTTTCAAAGGCTTTCACGGTGCAAAGCCATACTTTAAAGTACATTTAAATATGAGACTTCACATTACGTCGTTACCTTTTTTATGCTTTCAATATTATGATGATGTAAAAAGACAGTGATTATAGCTCCTTTTGTGAACATGGGGGTGGGGGTTTCCATTTGGAATGGTCTTTTTTCTTTTTTTTCCTTTTTTTTCTTTTTAAAATTTTTTTCCATTATCAAAGACTGTCGTCTTAGCTTTTTTGGTTATTGCTTTTTTTTCTTTTTTTTTCTTTTTTTTTTGAAGACCATTCCATTTCTTTATTTTTTTTAAACATCTTAAAGTCATAAGGACTTATATGCAAAGCAGTCATACACTGTATCATTAAAACCCATACGTAAAATACGTACACAAATCCAACAAAAGGCTAGTACATAGTAAAGCCTAAGCATACTACTATGCAATATTATGAATACATAACTTTAGAGACTTCAGTTTAGTACTGTTATCTATTCATTTCTGAAAACATTCACAAAGATTTTAAATGCAAATTTTCATTCCATATCTGGAATAGAACAAAAATCATCTATGTTATAACAACCCTTGGTCATCTGTGTTTTGACCAATTCATTAAATTACAAAGAACCCAAAGAATTCTGTAACTTTCAGTAGAAGTATGTAATAAAAACATTGCATAATGTTCCTAATATGATGTCTTTAGCAATTGTTTACTGAAATGTAAAACATCACTCTCTCAAAATACAGGATCAATCAGCTGCTTTTTCATCTATTTCTTAAATCCAACTTCATCACATTTACCAAAAACCCTTTAATACAAATATGCAAAAGTACATTAGGTAATACTAATGCAACACAGGTACAGTTCTAGCATTTTCAATGATCAGTTGAATCATCTTCTCCATGAACGAGATTCATTATCCTCTTCCTCTTCATCATCATCTTGAAGCAGAGAGTCATCTACCAAAGATTCTTCCTGAAACTTTAAAAGAAAGATCTGATAGGTTCAAGCTGAGAAGTCAGAGAACGTATTAAATAAAAAAATATTTTTTGGTAAACAAGAGTTTAAAACATCATAAACAGAAGCAAACTTTCTTAAAAATGAAATAGAAACAAGTATTTGAAATTGCTAGTATGTCATAAATAAATATAATTTCTTAAAAATGTCACTTTCTTTAAAAACAATAATTTAATTGTATTCTTTAAAGCTAACAACATAAAAGGACAATAAGAACCAGAAGGTGTACTTCTTCTGGCTCTTCAATATGTTATGTGTTCAAAATTTAATTGCCATCAATCCTAAGACACTAAAATGGGAAGTAATCTATTACTCATATGATCATAGACACTTTTTGCCTTTACATCCAGAGGAACTTAAGCTACCCTAACCTCAAACCAATATCTAAAACCAGAGATGCTTCATCTGGAAATTTAGCATTAAGTTTGACACTGAAACTATACAAGCAATAATTATTTTGCCTACCTCCAAAAGAAAGTCATTGCTTGTCTAAATGGAGCCCAACATTACATAAAAATTCAGCAAGATGAAATAAAACACTTATAACATCACCTTTTCCTCTTAGATTCATCACAAAGTTACCTCTTCTATTCCGTATTCTCCAGATAATTCTACTTCTCCACTTAGAGGACATGTTCATATATGTGCATGCACAAGTACGTGCCCATTTGTGCTCACCAAAAGCATCCGGGAATGTCTCCTAGCTAGAAGGGAGGCATACACCCAGTGGAAAAGAGGGGACATCACCAGGAATGACTATACTGCAGTTGCTCGGGGATGTAGGGCAGCAGTCAAGAAGGCCAAGGCAGAGATGGAACTGGGACTAGCTTCCCAGATTAAGGACAATAAGAAGTCCTTCTTTAAATACATAGGGGGTAAAAAGAAGGTTCCGGGTAATGTGGGGCCCCTGCAGGACACGTTAGGAAATTTGGTTGTCACACCAGACGATAAAGCTAATATATTTAACGATTTCTTTGCCTCCATCTTCCTAAGCAGGGACCGGAACAGCCACCCCCCCTGCCGGGCACCCCTCAGGCCCCAGGGGAGGGGCACCTAGGCCAAGGGTTAGTGAGGAACTAGTTAGGGAGCTTCTGGAGGGATTGGACGTATTCAAGTCAGCCGGTCTGAACAATCTCCACCCTAGAGTACTAAAGGAATTGGCTGAGGTCATTGCAGGACCCCTGGCATGGCTTTACGAGCACTCGTGGTGGTCTGGTGTAGTGCCAGAGGACTGGAAGAGGGCCAACGTGGTTCCGATCTTCAAAAAGGGGAAGAAGGAGGACCCGGGAAACTATAGGCCAGTTAGCATTACTTTGATCCTAGGCAAGCTGTTCGAGAAAATTATGCTGGCACACATCCATGAGGGGCCAGCATGGGATTTCATGCTTAGGGGCAACCAACATGGGTTCATCAGTGGCAGATCCTGTCAGACCAACCTGGTGGCCTTCTATGATCAGATCACCAAATCCTTAGATGCAGGGGTAGCAGTGGACAGTCTTCCTGGACTTTTGGAAGGCCTTCGACACTGTCTCTCACCCTGTTCTCATTAAGAAACTG